ACGATGATGCATATCAATTTTATCCCTGATCTCTATGACACCTGTGGTGGAAGTGGAGGGCAAATCGTAATCAGTTTGGTTTCCGGCCCCGAAGACCTCTGTAAACTTTACTTTTTGGTGATGACTTCATTTCCGAGCTTGAAAAGGACGCCCTTGTGTTTATCATGGTCTCTCATATTGGAAGAAAACGTAAATGACTTGTGTGTTGACGGTTGTGCATATCTCTTGGTCAGGAAAGTTGTAGGAACCATCGCCATTGTAAATCATTTGACAGGCCAGAGTGAACAGGGAGACCTATGATTGGTCAGCAATGAAAAGGGTAACAGTTCGGTTATCTCCCCTTTGTTTACGTTTACCGCTATTTTACTGTTTCTTAATTATTTTATGATTATGGCTGCGTCATTAACATTTTAAGTCGTGAAAATTTTGCCAACGTGACAAGGAATCGGGTTGTCTACCTAACCTCTTGGGTTTTATCGGGTCCTCCGGTTTCCTCCAACTGCTAAAAAACCCTACCAGTTCACAAAGCATTCCCAGCAGTTAAAAATTTACTCAATTTTCAATCACTGTTTATGAGAAATATCTTTGATCCAGAAACACATTACGGTGCACATAGTTTCTTATTGATGTATTTGTTACATTAAAACAACAATTTTATTTAAAATAAGGTGAACAATTTTGAGTAAATTCTTAACGTAAGTCTGGGAATGCTTTGTGAATTTGGGACTACATTTATTGTTTGTATTTTACACACATCAAATGGTCGTCGTGGCTCTTGTCAAATGTTCAAGATGCATTATGCAAGAGCTAAATAATCATAAATAAGGCCTGTATGGGTTCAAATGTTATGTAAGTTATTTTCATAAACAATTATTCACATGCCAAGCCCATAATTGACTATCTAGACCACGGGGTGGCTTGAATGTGAAATGGATTCGAATATACATGTACGCACGTGTAAATAATTCAACTTTCAACTGGACAATCGAGACTTTGTTTATTATGTTAACACTTGATAATCGAGACGGTCTACCCTCCATCTTGTTAAATCAACACCCCGAATAAAGTAATTTGAATGAAATTTTCAATGTATTCATTTTCAAGGTATCAATTTTTAAACTATTATACACATGTAAAATGAAAGGGTAGCTGTTTTTGTTAAATGTTTTGTCATACACAAATAATACCGTATTGTAATTCACATTTCTTTTATAAATTAAATCTATTCAAAAAAAGCTAAGAGCTATTTAAGATTTAAAAATAAGTTTATGATAGGTTTGCCAAGTAGGACGCAAATATATAATAGCCTTTGTTACCCAGGCTATAAATATATAATTGCCTTTGTTAACCAGGCTATAAATAAGTATTAGTAACCTAGAATGAACAAAACGATTTAAACTTTGACCTCATGTACACGATTTGACCTTTGACCTCCTGTACACTATTGGGTTTTAAAGCAGCGATATTCCCAATTGAAAGGCAAAAATATATACAATAAATAGTAGCCTTTACAAAACAATATTGATCCTTTTAAATCTTCAAAATCATTTAAATACTATTGCGCGCGCAAGAGAGAGAGGGAGGGGGAGTAACGTCCACTCGACAAAAACTAGGACTAATATGTGATTCAATTTGAAAGAAATTTTCATTTTATTCATTTTACCAGAACACATTGATGGTATTGATATCCTATATCCGGTAATATCTATTATCCATTGACACGTGATGAAAAACCGGTAAAGTTTGGAAATCCCCTTCTTATTATTAATAACTTATATTATTCTGTATGTCAGTTCGACCCACTATTTTGTTCATTGATAAAACATCAGAGTTGTATTAAGGCAGATCATTCACAATATCTAAAAAAACAGATAAAATTGCATAATGAGAGAAAGAGATGGGGTTTAACGTCCACTCGACACAAACTAGGTCATTTCGGGACTAACACATGGCTCAATTTTATTTTAATAATTCGTTTACGCTTAGGGGTCTTTAGCAGTGGGAAGAAACCGATGGACCCGGAGAAAACCCACGAGGTTGGACAGGACATGCGACCCTACTCCTTGTCACGCTACCCAGACAAAATTTCTCGCATAGCACACTACATGGCGTATTAGTCATTTGGAGCCACGATGGCTAAGTGGCTAAGACGCTGGCTCGCTAGCCTGGAGATTGGGTGTTCGATCCCTGCATTGGCCGAAAAGGTTCATCGGGATTTTCCGACGTGGTTCCTCCTTGTCAGTGGTACAGGACGAAGGCCCTGACTAGGCCAGCTGTCTAGTTGTTCGGATGAGACGAAAAAACGAGATCCCACGTATATATTGGCATGCACGTAAAAGATCCCTTGACAGTTGGAATTCGATATAGAGTAGGCTGTAGTGCCGCTACCTGGGCAAAATTTTCCTCATAACACATTGTATGGCGTATGCATGTCTTCATTAGCCCAGTTCGGAGCAGAACAGTAGAATGTTAAACCTCATTTCATTTCATTCCATTTCGTATTAGTCATTTCATTTCCAAAACAGTAAATATAAGCTTATGTATTTTAAGAACGCGATGGATTGCATAATTTAGAAATTATTAAATTAAAAAAATGAACATGAAATGACTTAATGATTCAGGTGTTGTAAGGAATGGATTTCACAACACATTCCGGATGTTGAATTTGAATGGCGTTTTGTTCTATAAAAATAAATACCTGTTATTAAAACCTAGTCAAGCATCGAACCCGGATCAAGATGGCAACCCCTACAAATAAAGAATTATGATGGCGGCTCAAATATTTAAAACATTCAATGGAAAGGTTCAAAAGGCAATATTCAATTATGAATATTTTATTCAGCTTTTATTAATAATGTAGCATCAATGATATTTATAACTAAATATAAGATGAGTCAATGTTTGTCTTGGTTACATGATGACTAATCTTTGTCATTTCGAAAGCTATGGTTGAACTTACACGTGGAGAGAGAGAGAGAGAGAGAGAGAGAGAGAATGAGATGGGGTTTAACGTCCACTCGACACAAACTAGGTCATTTCGGGACTAACATATGGTTTAATTTTATTTCAAAAATTCGCTTGCGCGTAGGGGTCTTTAGCAGTGGGAGGAAACCGGAGGACCCGGAGAAAACCCACGAGGTTGGACAGGCGACCCTACTCCTTGTCACGTACAGCCCGGGAATCGAAACCCCGCCAGTTGACTCAATGACAGACCGTATGACACAGCGCGCGCGTGCGAACCATTCGGCCATCCAACCCCCCACTTACAGATGGAGAATTTTCCATGTGTTGGTTGTGTACTCGAAGTACCTCTTCTGGAGTTATACAAATCATTATCTATAAATGAAATTATATACCAAATCGTATTCAGTATAAACACCTCTTTGATTTAGGGAGAGAGGTTTTACACAGGCTAAGCCTGTCCCCCAATCCCATTCAGACATCCTGCATAAAAATATTGTTTTAAAAAAAAAATGAATTGAAATGAGACGGGGATTAATGTCATACTTGTCTGTCCTGACTATCGAATATGAAATGTATTTTTGCTAGTACATAGTGGAGAGTGAAGTGCATAGTACATACATGTTGATGTATAGCAGATCGCGGCCAATAGAGTAATCATCCTCATTCGCCTTTCATTCTGGTGCTGAATGGCAAGATGCCGAAGATGCAAGACCCGGCGTCGATGATGGGTTTAACGTCCACTCGACACAAACTATCTCATTAGGGGATGAACACATGGTTCTTGCGCGTGGTTGTCTTTATCAGTGGGAGGAAACCGGAGATAACCCACGAGGTTTGACAAGCGACCCTACTCCTTGTCACGTACAACCGGGGAATCGAAACTATGCTAGTTGACTCAATGACAGGCCTTATGATACAACGCGCACCTGCTAACCATTCGGCCATCCAACCCCGTCCTTGTTATGCATACCACAGTCATCAACTGCTTGTGCACAGGCTGACATTGGATCCAGATCATGACAGTTCTCTCGGTTGTTTGTCCTATCACTTTCTGCTACATGGTTTATTAAAACTGAATTATATTTACAAAACACGAATTACAATACTAAATTAAATTGTTTTATTTACAATAGACTTGTTTAAAAGTATAAATTACAATGATTATTAATCTGAAACTGAATTTTATATTTATTTTATTTACAATATGATCATCAAAACTGAAATATATTTACAAAACCAGAATTACAATTCTTGTAAATCTTAGAGACATATTATGGGAGATTAGATAAAGAGTTGGCAGTTGTCACTTTAATAGTTAAAATCTAGATAATGTAAAGGGAATTTGCTGGATATTTCAGTCAAATAGTTCATCTTTGAACCGTGAATTTAGCGATTGAATTTTGGGTCTAGTCTCGATCATCATTCCTAAAGTCGGTACGATAAAAAACCATAGTTTCAATTATCCAGTCTTTGATTTAATCATGAATGAGCGTTGAGCAGCAGATCGGATTATAATCCAGTAAATATCGCAGCCTAGGGATGAAATCGAATATTGATTATGGTCTGGATGCCATCTAGAGTTGATTATGGTCTGGAGAGGTTAATTAATGTCTAATTAATAATTTAGATAACATTTCAGGTTTAAAGAAAGACCTGCAATTGGCAGATTTAGCTCTTGCATAATGTATGTTTATATAGTTTTATTGACAAGAGTCTTTCAGTATAGTGACTGTTAACCTGAAATAGTTCTTTTTGTGATAAATTAAGACCAAATACCTCACAAGTTACAATAGTTGTTTTATAATCTAATATAGGGTTTTCACTAGATGTGTTTGGGGTGGGGTGGTTAATAAATGATTAATGTTTTATTAAAACTGAACTTTATTTACAACAAAAAATCCATAAATTACAATGACTTAACAAAAAAATTAATGTATAACTGAATATTTTGTTCAAGAGTCGGTCATTATTGTGATGCATACATCTGGTAAGGGGTTATTTCGTTGGGATTTTAAAAATGTACAGAACATCTTAATCAGCCAATCGAGAGCGGATTCTGATGCAGGTGCAAAGGGGTGTTGGTCGTCTAAGCTGGGTTCACGGAGTGGTTCATCCTCAGGGTTTGGTGCAAGGGTTGGTTCTTCTTCTGAGCTAGGAGCACGGAGTGGTTCTTCTTCTGGGCTAGGTGCACTCGGGGGTTCGTATTCTGAGCTAGGTACATCCGGAGGTTCGTATTCTGAGCTAGGTGCACTGGGAGGTTCGTATTCTGGGCTAGGCTCACTGGAATTTTCGTATTCTGAGATTGTTGTACTGGGAGGTTGGTATTCTGAAAGTATAAACATAGAAAATTAAAATGGAGAAAGAAAAGGTTGTAAAGTTGTAAATATTTGTTATAAACTCGATTTAACAGAAATAAATAGAGTTGTAAATATTTGCTAGGACTTCGATATAAACGGAGAGATGTAAATTTATAAATATTTTTAATAAATTCGATTTAACAGAAAAAGGTAAAGTAGTAAATATTTGCTATAAATTCGATTTAACAGAACAAAGTATAAAGTTTTAAATATTTGCTATAAATTCGACGTAACAGAAAAAGTAGTAAATATTTGCTATTAATTTGATTTAAACAGAAAAAAAAGTAAAGTAGCAATTATTTGCTATTAATTTGATTTAACAGAAATAAAGTACAGTAGTAAATATTTTCTACAAAATTCGATTTAACATAAAAACAAGTACAGTAGTAAATATTTCCTATAAATTTCATACAACCTAACACAGATAAACAAAGTAGTAAATATTTGCTATCAATTCGATATAACAGAGAGCAGTAAATATTTGCTATCAATTCAAGAGAGCAGTAAAGCATCAAATATTTGCGACGAATTCAATTTATTTAAAGTAATAAATATTATAATCTACCTGTGTTTATTGGTGAAGGAAAAGAATAAACAGTCACCAGAATCATTAACAACATCAATATCCTTAGAACCATCTTTAATTCTCGTACCTAAATAATGAAATGATATAAAACATTATAAATGAAATGAAATGGGGTTTAACATCCTACTGTTCAGCTCTTACAGGGCCAATGAAGACGGGCGTACGCCATACAGTGTGCTATTCGTGAAATTTTGCCAGGGCAGTGGCGCTACGGTCTACTTTTATATCGAAATCCAACTGCCAAAGGATCTTTTACGTGAACGCCAATGTGTACACGCGACCTCGGTTTTACGTCCTATCCGAACGACTAGATCGTTGTCCTTGCCAGGCCTTCCTCCATCCTGCACAATTGACAAGGGGAAACCACGCCAGAAAATCCTGATGAACTTATTCGACCACCGTATGCTGAAGATACTTGTGCTAGTCCAGTTTTAAAATAAGTATAACCAAGTAAATATCAAGTTGTATTGACGAGTGAGAAACATTAAACTTTAAAATATTTACAATTATAAACAATATACATGTAGGTATACTAGATTGATTTCCCACGAAAACCCCAAAAGGCAAAAAAAGAACAACCCAAAACAAATCACCAAAACAAAAAAAGAAAAAAAAAAGAATAAAAAGAAAAAAAAAACAAAATCAAAAAAAAAAAGAAAAAAAAAGACCCCCCCCCCCCCCAAAAAAAAAAAACAACCCCAAAACTAGATAGGTTTAAAATGAATCCTATAAAGAATAATAATGACAATAAAAAAAATTTAATAAATAAAAAATAAAAATGCAAATTTTAAATAAATAAAAAACTGATTTCAATATGAAGCTACCGACCGATCTGAAATGTCACAAATTTGACCTAATATATAATACAAGTAAATAAAATAAAAAAAAATACCTTCAAAGAAAATAAGCTAGAATTCTGATAAATAATATTAGAATACAAATTCTAACTGCCAGTGGACTAGTATACTCTTCAGCTGTGGATCGTCTTTTAATGTTCAAACATATAGTCTTATAACAATTTGAGCATTTCAGAGGTATTTATACCATTTTAGGGATGCGGTCATCAAGGTGTTTTTAGTTTCGGCGTTTACCAGGTAACAAGAAATTACTCAATACTTTTACTTATTCCCGGATATAGTTTTATGAATTCTATCAATGACATTTTGATTTGATCAATAGATGTATGGATTAATTGTAACTATCTTAATATAAGATTAATTTCACTACTATTTTTTGATATTCTCCGGTAAATTTCATATGACGCAATTACACTAGTGTACAATATATATATATATATATATATAATATATAATATATATATATATATATATATATATATATACACGTTCTGATGAAAGAGTGATAAAGTTTCCGTATGACCTAATAACACCAGCATGGTTAATTTAACTGCGAATGGAATATTTCCTCTAGTGGGTAGCCTTGAAGACATCCTTGAATCATGGGAATAACCGGAACCAATTCAGTACGTCGTGGCCAATTGCTATGCTAGACAGGTTAAAGTGCAATACATTACGCACAAAACTAGTGCTGAATTTAAAGGGAGATAATTTATATAGGCCCTTTCCTGTTGTTCAATCCGATTCAGTTTATTGAATATTTTTTAACCTTACAAGTGTAACGTCTCAACAACCATTCTTTCGTCAATTACAATATGGGCACAATTTAAAAACCGAGGTAAATCCCTGAATGAAGAGAAATAGGGTTTAACGTCCATTCGACACAAACTAGGTCATTTGGGGACTAATATATGGTTCGATTTTAATTCAATAATTCGCATGCGCGTAGGGTTCTTTAGCAGTGGGAGTAAACCGGAGGTCCCGGAGAAAACCCACGAGGCTGGACAGGCGACCCTATTCCTTGTTACGTACAACCGGGAAATCGAAACCAAGCTAGTTGACTCAATGACAGACCTTATGATACAACGCGCACGTGCTAACCATGCGCTCGCTTACGACTATGATCAACAGTTTGCTCATGTTGCATCCAGTCGCGGATAAATTCAGTCGTAGCGACATAAGCTCATGTTTCTGTTAAGTCCGGCCCACACCGCCACGACTTGCCCAGACTCTACCCAACGCAACGTCTTGTCTTAGATAATCAGTGCAGTGTGGACAGTTCCGCGACCACGATTCAATCGATTTCCGTCGCGTCGTGGCCCGTTGGCCCGACTGAGCATGTTCAGTCGTAGTCGGATGCAGTTGGATGTAGTCGTAACCCATCGTGTTTGTGTGGAGACTCACACGACACGATCATTTGTCTTACTGTTGTTTAGCCAATCAGAGAGTAGCATTTAGTCATGTGAATGTGCAGGTCATGTGCTCCTTGTTTCCCCGGAAAAATTCAAGATGGCAGATTTGTGGACAGAAGAGAGACGCTAGAGGGAAGTGAGACTTGGGCCTGTGTGGACTGGTACCGTCGTAGGCAAGTGAAGTACAGACGCGACCCGATTTTTTTTACAACTACCCAAGACGCTGAGTCCTTTCGGGTTGTGTGTAGTCGTAGCGGTATGGGCCGGGCTTTAGTCGTCGTCAATTTTATCGGGTCGTAAGTCGAAATTAGCTAGGGTTAAGAGATATGGCCTGCAAATAGTACATTTATACGAATCGAATAATCTGTTTTTCGTTTGGTGTTTGCCAGGGGGATAGGGTTGACGTCGTTGGACTTTTGATTAAGTGCGGGTAGATCTACGATTGACGCTGATTTGGATATTTACTTCCGTTTCACATGTACTTTCCAGAAGCGGGAGGGGATCTTTCACTTCAAATGTGGTCGTATAGATTTCCGGAAGTAATGGAGAGAGTGGGCTTCCCATAGGTAACCCGTATATGTCTACCTCTTGTTCTTCTTTTTATTGTATTAGTGTTTAGCGTCCGCCTCCACAGAGGATGATATCGCAGACAAGTTGTGTTATTTATTTATGTTTTATCATTATGCTTAGCGCATGCGCGGGACTCTTTCCTGTGGGAGGAAACTGGAGTACGGAGTAAACTCACGTCGTTGACACCAGGGATCGAAACCACAACCGCAAACCAGAGGTGATCGGCCAGATAGGAAATGAAATGAAATGGGGTTTAACGTCCTACTGTTCTGCTCCTATACTGGGCTAATGAAGACGGGCATACGCCATACAGTGTGCTATGAGGGAAATTTTGCCCGGGCAGCGGCGCTACGGCCTACTCTTATATCGAATTCCAACTGCCAAGAGATCTTTTACGTGCATTCCAATGTATACACGGGACCTCGGTTTTTCGTCTCATCCGAAGGACTAGACAGCTGTCCTTGTCAGGCCCTCTGTCCTGCATCACTGACAAGGGGGAATCACGCCGGAAAATCGTTCAGGGTTGGTAGTTACACTAGGGCCGTCCCGAGGTTGAAATTTGATGTATAGGGGTAGTTCGGACTGGGGACTAACATAGGCCTGGCGGCAATGGACTACCGCTTCCGGTTTTGGAGTAATACTACTTCCGGTTCCGGGTCATCCGTTAGTGATTTACTAAAACTAAACTAAACACTGACTTTCATTTATCAAAACACGAAATTCAATAATTGAAATTCTGTAATAGTTATTTCAGAGGATTCTGTTTATACAAAACAAAAATAGGGGTTTCAATACATTTTATTTACAAAAACACATATTTCAATACTTTTATATCTTCAAAAGATTTATTTCAATAGATTCTTTTCAAAAATCCTATAATTGAAATCAAACATTTTATTCAAGGGTGATACAAACATCTGGTAAGGTCATGTTTGGCTGGGATTTTATCCAAACACAGTACATTTCAATAAACCAATCTAGAGCCATAGGTAAAGTATCTAAATTTATATCTTGGTGTTCGTATACTGAAAGTATAAAACATAGAGTCCAAATAAATTTATACTGTCTGCAAGAAAGAGAGAGAGAGAGAGAGAGAGAGAGAGAGAGGGTAACGTCCACTCGACACAAACTAGGTCATTTCGGGACTAACATATGGTTTAATTTTATTTCAATAATTCGCTTGCGCGTAGGGGTCTTTAGCAGTGGGAGAAAACCGGAGAACCAGGAGAAAACCCACGAGGTTGTCACGTACAACCGGGGATTCGAAACCACGCCAGTTGACTCAATGACAGGCCTTATGATACGGCGCGCACGTGCTTACCAATCGGCCATCGATCCCCAACCCCCTAAGTTGTAAAGAACAGTAAAGTAGTAAATAAAGTAGTAAAGAATAGTGAAGTAGTAAAAACTAGTAAAGAAGTAAAGAAAGTAGTAAATAATAGTAAAGAATAGTAAAGTAGTAAAGAATAGTAAAGTAAAATAAAGAATAGTAAAGTAGTAAAGAATAGTAAAGTAAAGTAAAGAATAGTAAAGTAGTAAAGAATAGTAAAGTAAAGTAAAGAATAGTAAAGTAGTAAGGAGTAGTAAAGTAGTAAAGGATAGTACAGAATAGTAAAGAATAGTAAAGTAGTAAAGGATAGTACAGAATAGTAAAGAATAGTAAAGTAGTAAGGAGTAGTAAAGTAGTAAAGAATAGTAAAGTAGTAAAGAATAGTAAAGTAGTAAAGAATAGTACAGAAAAGTAAAGAATAGTAAAGTAGTAAAGAATAGTAAAGTAGTAAAGAGTAGTAAAGAATAGTAAAGTAGTAAAGAATAGTACAGAAAAGTAAAGAATAGTAAAGTAGTAAAGAATAGTAAAGTAGTAAAGAATAGTAAAGAATAGTAAAGTAGTAAAGAATAGTAAAGTTGTAAAGTAGTAAAGAATAGTAAAGTAGTAAAGAATAGTAAAGTAGTAAAGAATAGTAAAGTAAAGTAAAGAATAGTAAAGTAGTAAAGAATAGTAAAGTAAAGTAAAGAATAGTAAAGTAGTAAAGGATAGTACAGAATAGTAAAGAATAGTAAAGTAGTAAAGGATAGTACAGAATAGTAAAGAATAGTAAAGTAGTAAGGAGTAGTAAAGTAGTAAAGAATAGTAAAGTAGTAAAGAATAGTAAAGTAGTAAAGAATAGTAAAGTAGTAAAGAATAGTACAGAAAAGTAAAGAATAGTAAAGTAGTAAAGAATAGTAAAGTAGTAAAGAGTAGTAAAGAATAGTAAAGTAGTAAAGAATAGTACAGAAAAGTAAAGAATAGTAAAGTAGTAAAGTAGTAAAGAGTAGTAAAGAATAGTAAAGTAGTAAAGAATAGTAAAGTAGTAAAGAGTAGTAAAGAATAGTAAAGTAGTAAAGAATAGTAAAGTTGTAAAGTAGTAAAGAATAGTAAAGTAGTAAAGAATAGTAAAGTAGTAAAGAATAGTAAAGTAAAGTAAAGAATAGTAAAGTAGTAAAGAATAGTAAAGTAAAGTAAAGAATAGTAAAGTAGTAAAGGATAGTACAGAATAGTAAAGAATAGTAAAGTAGTAAAGGATAGTACAGAATAGTAAAGAATAGTAAAGTAGTAAGGAGTAGTAAAGTAGTAAAGAATAGTAAAGTAGTAAAGAATAGTAAAGTAGTAAAGAATAGTAAAGTAGTAAAGAATAGTACAGAAAAGTAAAGAATAGTAAAGTAGTAAAGAATAGTAAAGTAGTAAAGAGTAGTAAAGAATAGTAAAGTAGTAAAGAATAGTACAGAAAAGTAAAGAATAGTAAAGTAGTAAAGTAGTAAAGAGTAGTAAAGAATAGTAAAGTAGTAAAGAATAGTAAAGTTGTAAAGTAGTAAAGAATAGTGAAGAATAGTAAAGAATAGTAAACAGAGAGCATTTGCTATAAATACGAAATAAAGTAGTATGAATAAACTACCTTTGCCTTGGCCTGGAGGAGGAGCATAAACTGTCACCAAAATCATTAATAGCACTATATTTATCCTAATAAACATATTTAATTTGGGTACCTGGAACACAAATAAACAAACTATTGAAAAAAAACCCATTAATTTCTAGTAGGAAGCCATGGCGACTCAGTGCGTAAGACATAAATAAAATATATAAATGAATAAATAAAGAACTTTAAAAGAATAAATCTCGATCCCAGAGATAAGTTTACCCTTTGTTTGTCCCTGGGAAAACTCGTCGGCCATTTTGAATATCACGTGAGGTATCCTTCCGTCGGTCGCTTCCTAAAGATCCAAGATGGCGACTCTAACCCACGTTCTTTCAGAAATTTCACGTATTTAGCCGAATCACTCACATTGTCCGCTAAAAATAGTTCCCGGTAAATCATCAAATCGGCTGTTTTCGAATGGACTTTTGATGTCAAGATGTGGAAAATGTTCTAAGGATCATTAACGTGTAACTCATGCAACGAACCAATGCCTAATTGTCGAGAAATCGGCATCATTTCATTCTAACAAATCCTGCCAATCAGTAGCCAGTTGGAGGGGGGGGACTAGGAGCCAGAGATAAGAGAGAAAGAGAAATGGGGTTTAACGTCCACTCGACACAAACTAGGTCATTTCGGGACTAACATATGGTTGAACCTTATTTCAATAATTCGCTTGCGCGTATGGGTCTACAGCAGTCGGAGGGAAACCGGAGAACCCAGAGAAAACCCACGAGGTTGGACAGACGACTCTACTCCTTGTCACGTACAACCGGGGAATCGAATCCACGCCAGTTGAGTCAATGACAGACCTTATGATACAACGCGCACGCACTAACCATTCGGCCATCCCCCATCAGGGATAAAGTTATCTCTGGGATTGAAAAGAAAAAGATCGAAGTCTAATATAAAACCCCTTGTCAGTGATGCAGGACGGAGGGCCTGACAAGGACAGCTGTCTAGTCGTTCGGATGATACGAAAAACCGAGGTCCCGTGTATATATTGGAAAGCACGTTAAAGATCCCCTGGCAGTTGGAATTCGATATAAGAGTAGGCGATAGTGCCGCTGCCCGGGCAAAATTTCCCTCATAGCACACTGTATGGCGTATGCCCGTCTTCATTAGCCCAGGTTAGGAGCAGAACAGTAGGACGTTAAACCCCATTTCATTTCATTTCATTTCTAATATAAAACACAAACTCGACTTACCAGTGATGTTGTTAAAGATATACGACCAATAGATTCCTCAGCTGTAAATTGTTTACAATGTTCGTTCGTTTGTGGGTGTCAACATGCACTTCCGTCCTTGTTGGGGTCAACATGCACTTCCATTTTTGATGTTGAAACATATTCTATTTATAGTATTTGAAACTAACCGTTTTGTTGACACGGTGTTTTTAGTTTAGGTGTTTACCAGGTAACAAGAAATTACTCAATACTTTTACTTATTCCCGGATATACTTTTGTAAATTCTATCAATGACATTTTGATTTGATCAATAGATATGTAGATTAATTTCAACCGATCAACGCTATACTGAATGATAGTCCGCGGCAAAGTTCACATGACGCAATTACACCAGTGATTAAAGACATCGTTAATGGAATATTTTCTGTGATGTGAAGAGAGAGAGAGAGAGAGAGAGAGAGAGGGAGAGAGAGAGAGAGAGAGTTTAACGTCCACGCGATACAAAATAGGCCATTTCGGGACTAACATATGGTTCAGTTATATTTCAATAATTGAATTGCGTATAAGGGTCTTTATCAGTGGGAGGAAACAGGAGGACCCAGAGAAAACCCACGAGGTTCGACTGGACACCCTACTCCTTGTCACGTACAACCGGAAGATCGAAACCACGCCAGATTTGACCCAATGACAGACCTTATGATGCAACGCGCCCTCCCACACACCCGGACTCATAGAACAACAAATTGTGTTTCACAGCCCAACGAGAAATCGGAAATCGACCGGAATGCCATATTGTAGAAAATAAGCCTAACGATTCAGACCCCGAGTACACAAAGCATTCTCAGACTTAAAGAAACATTATGGGAGATTAGATAAAGAGCTGGTAGTTCTCACTGTATTAGTTAAAAACTAGATACTGTAAAGGCAATTTGCTGAAAAATCCAATCAAATTGATCAACCCTGAACCGAGTATTTGGCGATTGAAGTTTGGGCCTACCCTCGATCATCATTACTAAAGTAGGTACGATTATCTATTTTTTTTAAATTTAATCAGAAGCAGCGTTGATTGGGTTCTAATCCAATAAATATCACAGGCTAGCGTTGATTATGGTCTGGAGAAGTTAATTAATGTCTAATTAATCATTTAGATAACATTTCAGGCCTAAAGAAAGATCTTCAATTGGCCGATTTAGCTCTTGCATAATGAGTTAAAAATTTACTAAAGCGTGTACTCCTTATTTTAACTTTTGTTGTTTTAAGGTATCAAATACATTAATAAGAAACTATGTGCAAAGTTTTGTCATTCTGGATCAAAGATATTTCTCTTTATAAACAATGATTGAAAGTTGAATAAATTTTAACTTAATTCTTTTAATTCTTTGTGAACACTAGGCCTGATCGAGGTATTGTAATTATGGAAATTTTCATGTAGTGTCGAAATTTCTCTTGGTGCATGCAGTCTGGCGTTAGCGTGGAAAACTTTATCGTATCATTATGCTTTACTGGAAAATTGTATTAACGTATTGTATTAACGTAACATTATATCAAAATGTAAAACCCCGGGTAAATACTTCCCCTGTATTAATACTACATTGTAAGTACATTTAAACATACATTATGTAAGATTTAGATAAAGAGCTAGCCAATTGTTCGAAAATAGATAAAGTAAAATGAATAACTTGAAAATTTCATTTAAATTACGCTATTGCTAGCGAAGATTTGAAGGTTTGACAAGACGTGTGCAATAATTTCAACCACCGTACTGGTTGTTCGAAGCTAAGTCTCGCTCCTCCATTTTTAGCTTAAATCAAAATATGGCTGAACTGTTCTAATCTATTTAATATCGGAGAAATCTGATGCCATCGAGAGTTGATTATAGTCTTGTTTTGTTAATAAATGTCTAATTAATAATTTAGATAACATTTCAGGCTAAAGAAAGACCTGCAATAGGCAGATTTAGCTCTTGTATAATGCATGTTTAATAATGACGTGTACACAGTGGGTCAGTTCAAGTTCCGAGTTACACTTGTCCTAAGGTTGTGTTGTACTAGTGTATAACTGATGTTCTTTTTAGTGCCTTGACCTGAGCCTCCCATTTAGCACTAGTGTTTACACCAGTGTCTAAACTATGTTAATTCCAAGTGTTAAAACTGGTGAAAAATAAAAAATAAACTATAACACTAGTGTTATTTTTAAATGTTACACTTTAGTTTTTGCCTCCAGTTCTAACGCATTTAATTCTTTGCAAGAGTTGGCCAAATTAAAACACCATAAGAAAGGTAATTGGCGAAAACTAACCGCTTCCAGAAAGTTAAAGTCTCTAACTGAATTATTTGTCAATTCAAATCAATATTGGTCTTCTGATTATACAGGGAAAAGATGGGCGTCTGATATCCAATAAAAAACCCAACATTTTAATATTGGTACACGAATCGTATACTATAATGCGTTTCAGCGCCATTTGGAACAAGGGACTCAAAGAACGAGGCTAGACATATTCCACAAGTCATGTCAAATGGTGACACTATATTCTTATCTGGAGAGCATGCGCAATAAGTACCATCGGTGTAGATTGAAATAACCAGACGCTAAAGATTACCATTCAATTGAGACTTCTGGCGTATTTCGCCGAACATAACGGATTAGAAATTACAGTAAAAACAGAAACGATTTAATATAAATCAGTTTATATACATTCATATTACATTATTATATACGTTGCGACCAATTTGTGTCAATTTCTATGTACCAAGTATTAGCGATTTAGCTCCTTTAAGTAACTAGGATCTATGTTGAATTTTTGTAGTCCCATTTAATCATTATTCAGTCGAAATTTCCTATCTGAAATTTCTCGTAAATTAGCAGGTCTGCGATCAAAATTTCTTTGTCTTAAGTTTTGGTCATATATAGATAAAAAAAATCATTTAAGCTTTAAAACTAAATCTAAAAACCTTAAAAGAAATTCCCTTCTTGCGGTCTGTTGTTTCCCACCAGTGTTGTAATAAATGACTTGAACTGAGAAATTTTTTAACCCCCAGGGATTAGAATTAGAGTTATTTTTAACAAGATAATAACTTTTATCAAGTTATTATTATTTAACAAGTTTTTATGTAATTAGAAATAATGTTGCACAAATATCCCTGTCTTTATATTAAAGATAAATTATGGGAGATTAGATAAAGAGCTGACAGTTCTCACTATAATAGTTAAAAACTAGATAATGTAAAGTGAATTTGCTGAAAATTTTAGTCAAATTTATCCACTCTGAACCACGGCCTAACCTCGATCATCATTACTACCTTCGGTACGATAAAAACATAGTCTCGATTATCCATTTCATGATTAAATCAAGAATGAAAAGTGGAGCAGCAAATGGTATCCTAATCCAGTAAACATCGCAGGCTAGCGATGCCACCGAGAGTTGATTATGGACTGGATAAGTTAATTAATGTCTAATTAATAATTTAGATAACATTTCAAGCCCAACGAAAGACCTGCAATAGATAGATTTAGCTCTTGCATAATGCATGTTTAAGATAAGCTATGTAAAGTATATTTTTAAAATCATAGTTTGGAAAATATCAAAATACTGAGTCATTAGTGACTAGTCCCCATGTGTCATATTTACATTGTAATGAAATGCTCTATTTTTATGGAACCCGGATAAGCGCTGCAAGTATTATCCATATATTGCATTAACTTTATATTAAATTAAAATGTTGAATGATTTGTAAATAAATATTTCCCCTGTGTATTGAATATGGTTTATTGTTAACCGTGTCAGTCTTTGTGGGTTAATACACGATCCACGATCCACAAAGGAAATGTTATTATCACGTGACAGTGCAATATAAGTTATTTATAGTATGCATATATGTTGAGTTTTAATGAAATAAAATAAAATGGGGTTTAACGACCTACTGTTCAGGGTCCCGTTTCTCGAAATCTTTACCAAAGATAAAATCTTTAATTTTAATTGGCTAAGCACTAAATTCAATCAAATATTATCCAATCATATTACTAAAATTTGATTTTATCTTTGTTAAAATTTCGTGAAACAGTTCCCGGCTCTGACTGGGCAAATGAGGAGGGACATATGCCATACAGTGTGCTTTGAGAGAATTTTTCCCGGGCAGCGGCAGTATAGGGTATTATCTTTTACGTGTACGCCAATGTATACATGGGACCTCGGTATTCCGTCCTATCCGCACGACTAGACAGCTGTCCTTGTCGTTGAGATTCACGGCAGTTTGTCTTCGATGAAGAATAGGCGAGAATGACACTGTCTGGACAAAATGTACCCTATAGCACACTGCAATACCCACGAGAGAGAGAGAGAGAGAGAGAGAGAGAGAGAGAGAGAGAGGGTAACGTCCACTTGATACAAACTAGGTCATTTCGGGACTAACATATGGTTTAATTTTATTTCAATAATTCGCTAGCGCGTAGGGGTCTTTAGCAGTGGGAGGAAACCGGAGGACCCGGAGAAAACCCACGAGGTTGGACAGGCGACCCTACTCCTTGTCACGTACAACCGGGGATTTGAAACCACGCCAGTTGACTCAATGACAGGCCTTATGACACAGCAGACCCGTGCTAACCATTCGGCCATCCAAACCCCCTGCAATACCGATAAAGTCCCACTTGTTAGACGAACGATTCTACCAGTTTTAATAAACTTAAAGGTGCATTATGGAAGATTAGATAAAGAGCTGGCAGTTCCCGCTGTGATAGTTAAAAAATACATAACGTACATAACGTAAAGAGAATATACTGAAAATTACAGTCAAATTGCTACACTCTGAGTTGAGAAAACCTAGTTTCGAAAACACTGCAGCCCTCGATGATCATTGTTACCGTTGTTACGATAATAAACAAAGTCTCAATTATCCATTTTTGGGTCAAATCTGTTTAACATCGTACTCATCAGATGGGATCGAAAGTTGATTATGGTCTTGTCATGTTAATAAATGTCTAATTAATAGTTTATATAACATTTAAGGCCTAAAGAAAGACCTGCAATAGGGTCTCAGACTAGTAATTATTTGCCAATTGACTTCAATGTTAAATGGCTGTGACATCACAGGCTGTAGCTTTTTGCTCAACATTACGTTGGTTCCAATCTTCATAGGCACAATGGGGACCACATTTGGCAATATCCTCATCAAATTTTGTAGAGGGTTGACCGTTTAGATTTTTTGCTACGGGGATTTGATGTTGACTGGGGTGAAAATCTCACTTCCGACACAATGATTGCTCTGCAGAAAGACACTTTACACCCCCTATCCCTCCGCTGTAATATTATCAGTATTACCCAAAACTGCTATGAAATTGCAAATTTGATCCATTTTCTCTAATTCTAGACCAAAATGTCAACCAAAAATGCAGGAAGGGGGGAGAAAAAAATTAAGGGAAAATTGTCTATTTATAGGCCGATTTAGCTCTTGCATAATGTATGTTTAATGGCAGAGAAGATGCGCTGCCAGGATTGCCATTACTTTATACTGAGGGCACTGGCTTAAAATGCCTTTAAAGCAAAGACCCAATAATTTGGCCTCTCCCTTCATAACAATTCACTGGCAAACGGCCAATTGAAAATATGTTTATAATGCTCTATTATTACACCGTTCAAAAAATTAATATGCCAGTGTGTCAGTAAGTGGTAAACAAGGGCTAAACACCTTGAACTCCAGTATGTAAATTCATTAACAATTCACTGGCAAACGGCCAATTGAAAATATGTTTATAATGCTCTATTATTACACAGGTCAAGAAATTAATATGCCAGTATGTCAGTAATTGGTAAACAAGGGAGAGAGAGAGAGAGAAATGGGGTTTAACGTCCACTCGACACAACTAGGTCATTTCGGGACTAACATATGGTTTAATTTTATTTCAATAATTCGCTTGCGCATAGGGGTTTTTAGCAGTGGGAGGAAACCGGAGGACCCGGAGAAAACCCACAAGGTTGGACAGGCGACCCTACTCCTTGTCACGTACAACCGGGGATTCGAAACCACGCCAGTCGACTCAATGACAGACTTTATGATACAGCGCGCACACGCTAACCATTCAGCCACCCCCCCCCCCCCCCGGCTAAATAATGTCCGCGTTGAGATTTCTGTTGCGTCAGATCAGGTTTTGTAAACATCTTTAATTCCAGCATGTAAATTTATTAATGACGAAATATGCTTCGGTTTTTCCACTTTATATGATTCATGGGTTCCCATCTAGTCGAGCGGTTAGGTCACTCCATTCCTGGCAAGTCCCAAGAAGAACCTTGCGTCAACTCGGGTTTTGTAAACATCTTTAATTCCAGTATGTAAATTCATTAATGACGTAACATGCTTCGGTATTTCCACATTATATGATTCATGGGTTTCCATCTAGTCGAGCGGTTAGGTCACTCCATTCCTGGCAAGTCCCCAAAAAAAAACCTTGCGTCAGATCGAGTTTTGTAAACATCTTTAATTCCTGTATGTAAATTCATTAATGACGAAACATGCTTCGGTATTTCCACACTATATAGATCATTGTTTTCTATCTAGTCGACTGTTTCGGTCACTCAATTCCTGGCAAGTTCCAAGAAGAACCTTCGGTTTTTTTCCGGCCCCTTTTCTCACTGACAGGAAAAATCCATTTAATAATAGATTGGAAATTTACCAAGTAGTGTGTGGAGCCACGGTGACTCAGTGGGTAGAACGTTGGCTCGCTAATATGGAGGTCCCTGCGTTGGCCGAGAAAGTTCATCGGGGTTTTCCGGCGTGGCTCCCCCTTGTCAGTGGTGTAGGATGAGAGAGAGAGAAATGGGGTTTAACGTCCACACGACACAAACTAGGTCATTTCGGGACTAACATGGTTTAATTTAATTTCAATAATTCGCTAGCGCGTAGGGGTGTTTAGCAGTGGGAGGAAACCGGAGGACCCGGCGAAACCCACGAGGTTGGATAGGCACGTCAGTTGACTCAATGACAGACCTTATGACACAGCGCGTACATTCGACCATCCCCCCCCCCCCCCGGTGCAGGACGAAGGGCCTGGCAAGGAACAACGTATAGTTGTTCGAATGGAACTAAAAAAACAAGATCCCATGTGCACATTGGCGTGCACGTAAAAGAACCCTTTACATTTGGAATAAGAGTAGGTCAATGTGCCGCTGTCCGGTCAAAATTTCCATCATAGCACATTGTATGGCGTATGGCCGTCTTGATTAGACAGAGAAGAACACTAGGACGTTAAACCCCATTGCTCAAAATATATTGGCAGAATGGTGCACTTTAGATCATAAGGTCTGCCATTTAGTCAAGTGGCAAGGGATGGTGTCATATGGTCCAACCTCGTGGGTTTTCTCCGGGCCTCGAGTTCACAAAGCATTCTCAGACTAAGTTAAGAATTTACTCAACTTTCAATCACTGTTTATGAGAAATATCTTTCATCCAGAAACACAAAACTTTGCACATAGTTTCTTATTGACGTATTTGGTGCATTAAAACAACAAAAGTTTTATAACGGGCTATATTTTAGTTAAAATATGGCTAACTATTTTGAGTAAATTCTTAACTTAAGTCTGAGAATGCTTTGTGAACTCGGGGCCGGGTCTCCCGGTTTCCTACTTGCCAACGAATGATTGTATTAAATTGGACCAAATCTTAGTCTCTTTCTTTTTCTCTGGGGGATCACGTGGCTAAGTGGGTAAGACGCTAGCTCGCTAGCCTGGAGGTCGGGTGTTCGATCCCTGCATTGGCCGAGAAAGTTCATCCAGATTTTCCGGCGTGGTTCTCCCTTGTCAGTGATGCAGGATGGAGGGACTGACAAGGAAAGCTGTCTAGTCGCTCGGATGGGACGAAAAACCGAGGTCCTGTGTACACATTGGCGTGCACGTAAAAGATCCCTTGGCAGTTGGAATTCGATATAAGAGTAGGCCGTAGTGCCGCTGTTCGGGCAAAATTTCCTTCATAGCACACTGTATGGCGTATGCCCGTATTCATTAGCCCAGGTTAGGAGCAGAACAGTAGGACGTTAAACCCCATTTCATTTCATTTCATTTCTTTTTCTCTGTCCACTGGCACAACAATAAATTTGATAATGAATGAGAATATAATCGACTTAAATTAAATTTATTTCATACATATGTAGGCAAGATAATAATAATAATAATATACCATAGCTAGATAAGAATATACATACATATATTGTATAAAATACAACAACATTACAATAGGAACAAGGGAGTTATATTAAGAAACTTAATGATATACTGGAACAAGGGAGAGCACTCGTGAATCAGCGTCGGCTTGCGTAAGCCATATTCAAATGTTGTAACGAGTGCCATTCAAGAGACAGGGTATGCTTATTGTTTCTAGAACCTCTGATACCATTTTTTTTAAAAAATGGGTTATGTTCTGACATAGCTACTTAATTCTGCTGCAATATAAACTACCATTATTGATTTAGGACCCGTCTTCATTGATGGTTAACCTCGTGACATTTCATTTCTGATTTACAATGGCTGATTTAGGACCCGTCTTAACTGATGATGAACCTCATGTCATTTCATTTCTGATCTAGCAATCGGCAACAATCGGAGACGTAACCTTAAGACCTGACACTTCCAAAAGAGGCAATGGCACTGGGATATTTCCCATGCTACCTTGACTAACTTAGCCGATCACGTCTGACACATTGAATACTTTAGCTGACTATATCTAACACCTTGACTACTTTGGAAATTTCGTTACGATTCTCGCATTGTACAAAAAGCAACACACACTACCAGTCACCATCTGTAAACCACTAAGAAAAACTATTTTTCATGTTTTCTTTTTTCCGATTTATGTCAAAATGTTCTAAATAAGCGTACAAAAAGTCGGTTGATGTAATCAAAGCGTTCGATTTGTCTGATTGTGACGCACGATGTGGCACCTTTCCAGTTTTAAAAGTTGTGATACATATACTATTTTAAAAATATATTAAACTCAATGAAAACAAAAAGTGGCTTCAGAACCTGTTCACCAATTTTACCTGAACTTCAAACAATGCAAAGGAAGCCACGATGGCACGGTGGGTATGGTATTTTATTTCAATAATTCGCATGAACAAAGGGGTCTTTAGCAGTGGGAGGAAACCGGAAGACCCTGAGAAGACCCACAAAAAAGGTTGAACATACGAGAAGTAAGACTTTAAATTTCATTTGCGTTCACCTGAACCCCGACCATTGCAATACAGGTAATGTGATTGGTGAACAGGTTCCCAAAATAAAACAACGATAATAGTCTATATACAAAACAACAAACAATATAAATCTTATAGAATAACAAACAAATATATAACAAGAATGGAACCAGTCTTTGGTAAAACGTAAAACAAAGTTGTATCTTCAAATCGTCGTCACAAACCAGCGACAATATAAGTAAAATCGTCCGTTTATTGGAGTAAAGTGAGTTGGGTAGCTGTCTTTGACTTTTAAAAATCCCTAAGTTTGTTAGATGTCCAGGCCCCAAGTTCACAAAGCATTTTCAGAATTACGAATTTACTCAAAATTTTTCGCCTTATTTCAACCAAAATATAGCCCTTTATAAAACTTTTGTTGTTTTAAAATATCAAATACATTAATAAGAAACTACGTGCAAAGTTTTGTGTTTCTGGATCAAAGATATTTTTCATAAACAGTGATTGAAAGTTGAGTAAATTCTTAACTTAAGTCTGAGAATGCTTTGTGAACTTGGGGCCAGATGTCCGATTAACGCTTAAGCTTTATTAAAATACCGTTGTACAGAAAACATTGTAAAATGTCTGAATGACGTGAACATATTTCACAATCGTTCTTTGTGACACGAGAGTCGGGTAAATCCAAACGTAATATTGTTTCAATGTACATTAAAATCAGGAAATTAAAATGTGTTAACGTTAGGGTTCATTTCTAGCTTCGAATACACGATTTATTTTGGTTTTGTTTTCTTAATTAAATGTTAAAACTTAGATCATTATCATTAATTACATGTTAAAACTTAGGTCATTAACATTAATTAAATGTTAAAACTTGGGTCATTAACATTAATTACATGCTAAAACTTAGATCATTAACATTAATTAAATGTTAAAACTTGGGTCATTAACAGTAATTAAATGTTAAAACTTAGATCATTAACATTAATTAAATGTTAAAACTTAGGTCATTATCATTAATTACATGTTAAAACTTTGGGCATTGACATTAATTAAATATTAAAACTTAGATCATTAACATTAGTTACATGTTAAAACTTAGATCATTAACACTAATTACATGTTAAACGTCGTGAAAAATTAAACATGTTCCAATAATGTACAAGTTGTGGGTCTATCGGTTGCTGGACATTCGCAAAAAAAAAAAGAAAAAAAAAAAAAAAAATGAAGAAGAAATGGTCGTGCAAATACTCGACTATTCACATAATACATAAAATAAAATCAAGATATAATGGGGGAGAACGCTAGATCGGAGACCGTCCTGCGCATTTTATGACGTCATAAGTGGATTGTGTGTTAGGATAAGGGTTAGGGTAAGGGCTAGGATCTGCAGATTTCGTCATAGTCTCGAGATGTAGACTGGATCAAGCCTAACCCTTACCCTAACCCATAATCCACATATGACGTCATAAAATGCGTAAGACCGTCTCCGATCTAGCGTTCTCCGTTTTTTAACCACCAATCGGAAATAAAACAACGCGAATGTATCTTATGGGAAGTGTGAAAATTAAATAACTTTTAAAAATTGAATGTGCGGCCATGCAATTGTGAGGCGTGTTGTTTAAAACTAGTTAAACAATTTAACAAAAAGACGAAACGAAATTATTCACACGTCCCAAATACATCTAACTCTATCCATGACCATTATAGAGGCGGGCCACACTTAATTTCCCCATAGACTTCAATGGCAATTCCGTCTCTTTGACCGGTTCCAACTTTGTACCGAATTTTGTTGGGCTGAACGCTTTTTATTACAGACAGAGCAACGTCTGACCATGTCTTTGTGTTACAATTTGTATGAGGTTGACCATTGCTATTTATAGATAAAGGGACTACAAACGAAAATAGTGAAAATTAATTGTGGTCTGCATCCTACATTTTATTGGCTTCGTTAGCAGTTACCCCCCTTGCTATTTATATGAAACTGTAACAATTCACTTTAAATTTAGCAATACGGGTTCTTAATTATGCCACTATTTCCTAATAAGTATTTCCCTTAATTAATACGCTTAACATCAATTGATAAAAGCGAATATATTTGAACGATATACTATTTCAAATGGATTAATTAATTATTTTTAAAAGCCTCTGATAAAAGCCAACATATTTGAAAAATACAATATTTCCACAGCCTAGAAAATAATAATGGTTTTAAAACACCTCCAAGGATAAAACATAATTCTTAACAATGTTTAGACTTTTGTGAATATTGAACGTTCATATCTCAAATTTATATATAAAACACTGACAAGCATAATCTAAAATGAAAAAAAAAAAAAAAATAACCAAGATCGGTTTCTATGGCTTCACATGCAGGAGACAAGGGAGATAATTCCCAAGATAATTAACAAAACACGGCACAAAAACAAATAAAAAAACAATCAAAACGTCAACAACAGAAATTGGAATTTCTAAGATTCTTCAAACACATTTCCCCAGAGGAGAATCTTCAGTTTCGGCTTAGATGACGTCACGATTCTAAGTCTATAACGTAGATTGTCTGACGTAGCCGCGGAATTCGTATGTTCTCTACCCAAACGATTGTAGCATAGTTTTAACAGGGTTATGGACGTATTCTTTTCTAAAACGTCCAACAACTTAGAAAATCCGTCATTTGTTACACCACACATATTTAATCCAATAGTTTGGAGAACCGAACTTCTTTCAAGTGGACTGGCCAATTTCAAAACACCGGCATCGGCGATAAAATTAACACTTAAATCCACGTGCTTCAGTTTCTTACTGGATGACAGCATTTCCGCTAATTTTCCACATCCTGATGACGTAATACCACAATTCTCTAGGCATAACTCCACAATGGCGGACAAAGGAATGAACCGACTGAGAACCTCTACACCGCTATCACCAATGAAATTTCTGCTTAGATCAAGTTCCGCGAGGCTTCTGTTGCGACTGACGCCCTCCATGAGAGAACAGCAACCGACCCATGTAATGTTGTTGCTGCGGAGTCGAAGTTTCTTTAAGGTCGAGTTGGATTTCAGCATGTCCTTGAGACAGTCGCACGCGGGATCGCCGATGTCTAGAAAACTCATGTCCAATTCGACAAGTGTCTTATTGACGGCCATGGCACTAGCTAATGTCTCGCATCCCGACTGATCGACGCCCGTAGACGAAATATTCAAATGAAGCAAATGTTTGTTCTCGCGCAACATATCCGACATGGCTTCCATCCCCTGTTTGTTTAAGCCGTTCAGTCGGACATCCAGTGTTTGGATGCTCGTGTTTGTATTCATAGCCTTAAAAATAAGCGCCAGGTCATCCCCTTGCATTTGTGTTTTCCCGATTTTCAGTTCCAAAATACTATCAGTGTCCACTAGAAGGCGCTCTAGAGCATCCGCTCGACGCGCGCACAAGCTGATTCCGGTAATAAACACATTCACCATAGTAGCGTAAGAATCTGCAAATTCAGTTGATGATTCGTTTTCCAAATCGAGACTTGATTGGTCGGAATATTTCGAACTGCGATTGCTGTTGCGCTTCTCACTTCTCGCCTTCTCTAATTCGACCAATGGCCTTAAGACACCCGTTTCCTTGTTCAAATATCCGATTTCAAATGATATCCGCTTCTCGTCCTCCATTATGCTTATCTCCTCGTTATATCTCGCGGGAATCTCGTAGCAGATTCGGTCGATTTCTTGCATAACGGTCAAAACACGGGAGATATCCCCAGTGGCGTCTGCATTTTGAATTACCTTACAAAAAGCGCGAAATTTCGAAAGTTCTCCATCACTAATAATGTGAGTTATACTGTCACATATTAGACGTCTGTCTGGATGACCTTGAAACGCTTGAAGGTCAGACTGACTGATGACGTTTCCTTCGTGAAGTTTGTCTAAAAGTGGAAATGGGTCAAATCTCTGATTCAGTAAATCTGAAAGACTTTGCATAATCAATTTCTGTCGGGTCATTTCGCCCTTTTCACTGGATTTTCGTCGGTTACGAAGGGGCTTTTTCGGGGTGAGGTCGGGCGTGACAATTTTTATTTTAGAATAAGAATTCTGACTGGAGTTTAACGAAGACACCGGTGAATATTTCGTATCAATTTTTTCGTCCTTCTCTTCCACGTTACTCAAACCATGCACAGTGTTGTTATTCTCGCGATCCCCCGGATGTAAAATCACCGGCTTGATTCGGCCATTTTCCTGGCGCACTAATACATTTCTAGTGTCAGTCAAAGGGGAACTTATTAAGCTCGTCATATCGCTTCCTGTACTGTCTACCGCGGATGCACTTCTTTTAGGAGATGGACATTTCACAGACTTCGCTTCTGTCGCGGAAGAACTTCGCTTGGGATGAAAACTTTGAAAAATAGAATTACGTAAAGATCCACTCGAAGACGAACTTCGGTGCGTATTGATTGAAGAAGACCGAAACAGAAATAAACGAGGGGGTTTCGGCGGCGGCTTGAGACTGTTCGTTCTTTTTAAATCCGTCTTGTCTAGAACATCCGGTAAATCACTGTTTAATGGCGTCAAAACCTCACTTGCTGCGTCATCATCCCGCCAATGTTCATGTATGACGTCACTCTTATCTAATGGCTTCCTGTCGTTGCGTTTCGTGGATAATTTTCGCCAGAATTTCCACGGTGGGTTGTTGTTGCGATGTGGAGAGCCGTGATCTGAAATGACATAATTAATTCATAATTAATTAAAGAAAATGCGTTGCCCTTCAACGAAACATACAGCCACTACGGTGAAATACAAGTTGTTTTTCTATAGGGTCAAAAGAAGAATACAATATGCCTTGACCTTTATTATTTTCTCACGGGATCACTGTTTGTTGGTTATCTGTTTAAAGTGTGTTTAGTGTGAATTATTTTTTTGTTTGTTTATCGTGATGCTGGCTGGGGGGTGGGGATTATATCAAATATCAATAAATGAAATGAAATGGGGTTTAACGTCCTACTCTTCTGCTCCTATACTGGGCTAATGAAGACGGGCATACGCCATACAGTGTGCTATGAGGGAAATTTTGTCCGGGCAGCGGCACTATGGTGTACTCTTTTAACGAATTCCAACTGCCAAGGGTTCTTTTACGTGCACGCCAATGTATACACAGGACTTCTGTTTTTCGTATCATCCGAACGATTAGACAGCTGTCCTTGCCAGGCCCTCCGTCCTGCACCACTGACAAGGGGAAACCGCGTCGGAAATCAAATATCAATATAGCTACATGTACTTGACGATTTAAATAATATCAAGTCCAGAATCTAGGCGATACAATCCAATAAAAAATATGTCTGTCCCCAGCAAATGATCGCAGGTGCTCTCTGACATTTACTAGTCCCATTCGCCCTAGCTGTAATCTACAGAAGTAGCTATTTAGTCATTCTGATCATAACGTGTCTAGAATATTAGCTCACTAGATGTGATAGCCATTCGTGTTCGCCATTCATCTAATTCCCCTTGTTCGGCCATATCAGCAATTCCTACTTCCGATCGATTGGGTTCTATCTGATATACGAAAGGTCAAACACTACATAGCTATATGAGGTCAATTAAGACACATAAAATCCCGCGATTTATAGACGAATTGTCTATTTGTGCACAAACTTGCGGCAACCGCTAGTCTATGCCTTCAGGGACATAATAAACGACTACAGATAATTGGATCGATGCTGTTTGCAGATTATATGTCGATATGCCATCTTCTGTGTAATGAACAATTAATACATAGACTAAATATTTATTTTCGTCTTCTGAAATCCATATATAAATATTACTCCGCTTGCGGAAGTACTGCTATTGACCGGGGATGGTATCCCTTACAAGACAGGGTACACTACATTTTCATTTTTAACACTTCATATTGTTTTTAAAGTTACAATTTCTCATTTTTTAAAGTTATATTTTTAAAATGTATTAAAATAAAGCCCTAAAATAGATGGTATCTATTGTTAAAGAATAATCCTATTAATCCTATAATTCACTATTGCCAGTTGAGAAATTGGCAAAAATATCATTTTCAACTTCAAATTCAAACGTTTGAAGATAGCTATTCCGTGGTGGGGAATAGGAAAAACATGGGAGGTAATTGGGAGGTAATTCCGGTGTGAAGATTTTGAAGTGTGAGAAAGATAACCTATGATCGTATAATGGTGAGTTGACAACATATTGACCAAAATACATAGAAATAATTAAGTTTTGACTTTCTTAGAAATAAGAAATTGTAACTTTAACTGGGCAAAAATGCTCTAATGACTTGTAATCTAAGTTCAAACCATTCCGTTATTTATCTTTATATAACGAGACGTGGATATGTTTACCATTTCCTAGAATAATTTTTTGTTTGAGGAGTCCAGAGAACCAACAAGGGGTTTTTTTTTGTTATAGATAAATTTTGTATATACATAGTGGAGATGGGCCAACATGGGTTTAACCAGGTCGCCAATCCGATTCGATAGGAAAATAAAATATTATTAATAAACACTAACGAGTCGTATACTGTTCGTTACTCTCTCTCTCTCTCTCTCTCTCTCTCTCAGTGTACAGAATGACAATTTCAGATTTCTCAGAATAGTACAAACAATATTGGCATACGTTAAATGGACAATCACACGATCTGAGACAGTTAACTGATGGTATTGGGGACTAATCAATATTCGTAGCCATCAGAATACCAACAGATCTGACTAATAGACAGTGAAAAGTCATTTATAATTCAACATACATTCCACGATTGACCGAGTTTAACCCAAACTCTTGTAAAATATGAACATTTGACCGAACTGGCTTTTACCGCGAAGTGTGAACGAGATGACTCCATCTGTTTTAATTGTTTAAACACGTGATTTACAGAGCAACAGACTTCCTCTATTACAAGGCGAAAGGCAGTTATTATAAATGTATTTAAAGAGAGAGAATGGGAGGGGGGGGGGGGTGAACGTCCACTCTAGCCAAGCTAGGTCATTTCGGCAGTAACATGGTTCAATTTTATTTCAATAATTCGCTTGCGTGTAAGGGTCTTTAGCAGTGGGAGGAAACCGGAAAACCCGAGGAACCCATGAGGTTGGACAGGCGACCCTACTCCTTGTTACATACATACAACCGGGGATTCGAAACCACGCCAGTTGACTCAATGACAGACCTTATGAGACAGCGCGCACGTGTTAACCATTCGGCCATCCAACCTTTCCTCAATAAGGTTAATATCATAATTGCATTTGACGGTGGATCGATTTATGTTTGCACTGAATATACCGGTATATGTCCACGACTATTGTCACCATTCTGTGTGCTTAAACAGTGCTTAAACATACATTATGCAAGAGCTAAATCTGCCTATTGCTAGTCTTGCTTTAAGCCTGAAATGTTTTCTAAATTATTAATTAGACATTAATTAACTTATCCAGGCCATAATCAACTTTCGATGGCATCGAATTTCTCGGATATTAAATAGACTAGAACAGCTCAGCCATATTTTGATTTAAGCTAAATTTAGCTTCGAACAACCAGTACGGTGGTTGAAACTATTGCACACGTCTTGTCAAACCTTCAAAGGCTAATATCTTCGCTTGCAATAGTGATTTGAATGAAATTTTCAAATTATTCATTTTACATTATCTATTTCCGAACTATTATAGCAAGAATGGCTAGCTCTTTATCTAAATCTTACATAATGTATCTTTAAGAATAGTTGACGTGAATACGTGAAGGCTTGAAGATGTAGTTGACCAGACTTTATCCGTCTTTAATTAGTGCGGAGTCAGATTAATAGGCCAATGGCTTGTTTCATTAACCCAATAACAGGTACGGGCTAAGAGTCGGCGGCCCCGAGTCTGGCCCAGTAAAAAACTGATTGTAAATTGTGGTTTCTAGATTATATCCTGATTTTTTCTACCTTATGCACAAATTTAGCATGTGGCACTTTACAATTCCATCAAACATGACGTCAATTCAAGACTAAACATGGCCGCTAAACTAGGGCGAGGACGTCTTTAGAGGCCCTTGGGCCTACTATACCCATAAGCTCTTTCTCAGTCGCCATATTAATTCTCCCGATTCACACTTCAATCCAACTAAACCTACGTCAGAATAACTATAATACAGATATAATCAACGATAATTCCAGACCAATTGACCTTTACTAAATGTCTGGTCACCCAGACGTAAGAAAGATCGCTGTTGATAACATGTTACGGTCAAACTGAACGCTATATATATGCTAGATTAAGAACGAGACAATTCTATCTATGGCAAATTAGAGACTAAGACGGAAATAATATCAGAGCACTCTCTTTCTCTCTATATATTCAGGGCTTAATAACAGAAATTTCATGACCATGAAATATTGTACAATATATTAATTTTAGTTCGTGGATATTTTCCTAAATATTAAAGACTCAATACCACTCTTGTTGTAACTGAATAATATGTCCCAATCTTTATTCTGGTCAACAAATTGTACTACTTTACATTATTCCAATTAATTGATGATACAAATTTCATCTTAACACACCTAATTTAAAAAAATTGGAAAACTTCAACTAAATGATTTGAAAAGCCTGACGTAAAGCTTTTCAAATGTGACTTGGATTTAAAAATATTTTTGAACCCTCTGGACAAGTAAAATAGGATGTAATGGATAATTTACACAACAGGTAGGACACTTAAACATCTAATACTTAGAATAAGGCTAATATTTATTTACTGGAGCTGTCAAGCCAGCAAGAGTGTTATTGTCCCTTTAATAAATTAAGGAAAATTAAGGAATTCTATGAACTTGAATTATACAACAAATTAATGTTAACCGGTAGATATTTGCCTGGAATAATTCATGACGTAAAGAATCTAAATCGCTAATAGTTAAAATTGTTTTTATTACATAAACGAGGACGCATACCGTCTTTCAAAAACTGTACGCATCTGTAAGTAACTGAATAACAGGAATTCAATGAATTGGCTGAATGTCAAAAACATGAATAGAATGATATAACAGGTGGTTTTTATAAATGAATGTATAATTTCTTACTAGAGATAAATTTATATAAACACTGGCTTTTTTTTCATATCCCATAATAAACACGTTGTATCTTGTATGTAAACATTAAAGATACTTTCCCAGAAAAGTATTTATCGGGTGGTTATTTCCAATAAAAGTATGTCATATTTGGTATATATGGAAGTATAGAGACCCAATCTTACTAGAAAAATACTGGATTACCCGAAAAACGCCCATGGGGCAAGCACTGGGAAAAATTGTCAGGGTATCACTAACTGGCGACCCGACTGTTATCTGCCAGCTTATTGTGTGCCAGCTTAAGTGAGGGAGCGGTTGTTATTTCTTGATCAAATGGTTAGGCGGTTTTGGGAACATTGAGGGGTGTCAACGTACAAAAGACTCTGCAATTAAACGGCGGAAAAAAAAGTTGACAGAAATAATTAAGAATTTACTTAGGCCTCAATATGTATGGTAAATGTACAGTAAGTAATGATAAATATATTCTGAAAAATGGACCCTCCCACAATGAAGCTAAGTTGACGGACATTGCGTCTAACAACAGCTTACTTATAGGTATCCTCGGCGAATACAAAGTTTTAAGAGGGAATTGAAGCAAATGTTTGATAGATTGGTTACTTTGAATATGTTTTAGTCCAAATATATTATCAAATCACAGCA